TACACTAGAAAGACAATTCAGACTGAGAGTTGACTGAGTCTATCCTTTCTGTATTATAGCTGTTCTGAAAATTGCTTACTTCAACTGTAATTCTGGCCTCAAAAACATTTGTACAAACTGGGTACTGCTGCTGCCTGCAGTACTTTATCCCACATTATTATAAATACTTTATGAAAATAATCTCTTTACTAAACTACTTTAGTGTCAAGCTCTCTGAGCTGTAAACGAAGTCCCTCATACCACGGTGCTACGGATTAAAGATTTTATTGTTCTAAATTTAATCCTGTTTTCTTGGTTGGTTTCCACAAGGGGTGGAAAAAATAGAGAAGGGGGAGGCATGTCAAATGACTATGTAATTCTTTAAGAAAAAAAAATTGCACTTTTTTGTTTTTCCCATGACTGTTCCTTTTCATCTAACCAGTTACTGGTGCTTCTAATGTTTCTCACAAGCAGGAGTTCAGCCCTCCCTGATGCAGTTTCATGTTTGGACTGCCACTGTTGTCTGTTTATGTTTGCAACTGCTGCTGCCTGTGATATGTGAATTAACAATGTATTTTGCATCTTCTCAAAATATTTGCATGCATAATTTCCTCTGGTTTGTAATGTTTCCTCTTCTGGCCTTCCTACATTTAACAGACTAGGAGCAAAAGTGTAATGGCAGTCAGATTTTTTTTTTCTTCTTTTTTTTGTATAGCTGTGTTTACACTATGCTTACTGGCGTCATACGGTGGTGCAGATAATGCTTACGGAAGCTTAGGTTTGGAGCATGCAACTTCACATTTGTATCTTCTTCTGTGCCAGACAGTATAAGCTGTCAGGTATTTTTTTCCTTATTAAGTTTTCTCAGTGCTTCTAACTAAATTTCTGATTTGGTTTTGGTTTGGTGTGGTTTTTTTTTCCCTTTGATTCTGAAAGCACAGTTAATAGGCTAGTTTTCAAGTGGTTGCCCAGAAGTGTATCTTGCTAAATTCGGGATTCCTTCCTTATTTGTAGCTATAATTAGTTTCTTACTGCCTATTTAATTTTTTTTAACTTACTGGAAAAGCAGCTACTCATTGTGCATCCCAGAATCTCTAATTTTGCTCATTTCTTCTGGTATTTGCAATTTATGCATAGTTTTGCACTTAAAATATTTGCTCAGTTGCTATTTAAGTTACACATCAAATTTGTCTATTTGAAGAGTATATATGAGCATAAAATTAGAGTAGTTGAGTTCTTCCTTCCCTACCATTTTCCTGTGCATCTGAAATGGAAATTACTGATGAAATTAGACCGGGAAAAATTACTTTACAAGAAGTACAAGAGAAAGGGTAGTTTGGGGTGGTGATTAAAATCACGATGCTTCTTTCAGGGAGATACTTTACATTGTCTCCAGTCTTTAGCACTGTTTTTGCCAGGGAAGCTTGCACATCAGGCCATCATCATCATGGCCTCTGCTCTCTGCTGCTGCATCCCCACTTCTCCCTGGGGACCTGTGCTTTGTTTCAGTATCCTTTCAATACCCACACAGCAACCCCCATGAACGAGGCTTCTAGCCGTGTAGAATAAGTAGGTGTCTTATAATAAGTGGGTCTTACTATGTCATGCTTATTGAAGGAGATGTAGCTACTATCCCACTATCAAAAGAGAGTATGCCACTATTTTCTGAGCTGTTTTCATACCTGGAGATAGTTTGTACATGTGATATTTGTGAGTGGAATGAACAAAGTAATACGGTATGTTTGGTATTCAGTTCTAAAAGGATATGAAAGCACAGCTGAAACAGATACACCTCTAAAAGCTAGCCAACTCTGCTATCAGTCTCTTGTTTATGCAGTTGCGTGTGGAAAACTGCTTTAAGTTTAGGAGGCAGAGAAAATACTTCATGTTGTGTGATTTTGTTGCTGAAGATTGCTGTATGGAATGTTTGGGTGTAATAAAACTCTGAAGAGATCAGTTGGAAAAAATAAATGACACTGGTACCAAAATTATTTAAAGGGCATATTCTTCCATTTCTCTTGGCAGGCTTATGTGTGGCCTCACCGTTCTTACAACTGTGAAGTCAAACTGTTAATGATCCTCTGAGGAATAAAAGGTGACAAAAATTACATACTAATAGATACCCTGAAAATAGTCTTCAGTCTCATATTTGTTTTCTCTCATTTTTTTCCCCATTAAGCATGAGGCATGCTCTGGCAAAAATAGTTTGTGCCAAAATAGGCCAGAGAAGGACACTGATTAATGCAAGATGAATTAAGACATTTACTGCCAACCTTGCTCCAACTTCGGCATCTGTATCATGTAATTTTGTTGGTTTTCTACATCTTCTTTTTTGTTCTTTTAGATCATTTTATTGATTACTTTTTTTTTTAATTACTCCACTGCACCAGCTATTGCAGGGAGAGTGATTTGGATGGCACTTCTATTTTTGTAGTAGGTTTTTCATCAAGGCTTCTACTGCTTGACACAACAGAAGTGGAAATGACCACTTCCCTCCCATCACTTTGCTTCAAGGGCTCTTTTGGGTGAGGATGGTTGTGGTAAGAGTAAAGGAATTGATTCCACAGGGGTGGGGTTTTCTAGCTACTTCATTTAAAATCTGAGCTGAGATTGAAAGGTTTATGAGTGGTTTACATGAGGATTAAGAGAGGCCTAAGTTTTTCTTAAAAATAATTACCAAATTTGGGGTTGTTGGGTCCTCTCAGTAAGTTACTTATGAAATCAGATGTTTATGCAACACAGGCACTTCTTGTTTCTCATTCTTCAACTTCTTTGATTTAAAAAGTTGCGGATGCTCACTTAATTATGAATGTCTCCAGAGCCAGATGATGATGATGATTAAAACTTGGCATACAGTACTTTTTAAAACATTAATCTTCACAAGATTCTCTGTAATTAGATAAGTATTCTCCTGACTTCACAGAGAGGAAAACTATAAGGGTCCAAACCTGCTTCTGTTTTGGAGTTGCTATCAACTCTTAAGGCTCTTAATAGCAGAAGATCAAGCCCTTAAGTGATTTGTCTAAAGACAAGTAAGATGGTGGGAGAGTTTGATTGGATCTTGGGTGTTCTTGATTCACAGGCACCTGGCTGATAGCTCAAGATGTCTTGCTTGACATTTCAGCTTTTTTCATTTTAGTGTTTATCTTCAAAGGTCATCAACTTTATATATAAAACTTTAAAAAGAAGTGTACAGTAAGTCAAGTTCTACACCTGTTATTAAGCCCTCTTGCTCATCGCTAGTGTTTTTATTTTGACTATGTCTCTATTGCTGATAGACAGCCCCAAAAATAAAACGGGAGAAATTGTGGAAATGAAATGAAATCACTTGGTACTGTCAGAGGTGTAGTAAGGGAACTGAGAAACAGCTCAGATATGATGATAAGTTATAAGTAGAAAGGCCAAAACTCAGATGGTGAGACAACTGTGTTCTTGGGTGGTGGTTGTTTTGTCGGTGGTGCTAATATACTCTTGCTTAGGACTCCTGCAGTAGGTTCATACATGCTAGAGCAGGGCGAGGTGCATCCCCAGTTTGAGGGGCTGACCAAGCTGGTGGGGAGGCACTTCATGCCATGGAAGCATGAGCCAGCATGGTGTGTGTGATGGGCAATGGAGCCTGAAGTATCATGTTCAACCCCCACCCTCTCCACTCATACATACAGGGTCAATGTGTCTGTTTCACTGGATGAATTATTGCTCCATGTGGACATCTACTAATCAGGACATATCGATGTGTAGGATTTGGGCTCCTGAGAATAGCCACAAAACAATTCAAGTTTCCCCTTTACTGCTTTCCACCATCTCCCTTATTAAAGATTCCTTGGTTACCTTTCTGTGGCTGATTAATATGTCAGGTGATTAATGACTTTCATCTGACACATCGACGGGATTAAACCATGGTGAAATACATCTTCCCCTCCTATTGTTGCATTCTGCTGCTTTTCACAAAGGAAGTACAAGAGGGGTTGTCTCACTAGAAGCTCTGCCTGTATTTCTGCCTGTTTCTAATTACCTTGCTTTTGGATACATGTCTGTGGTGCTGAGTTGGGGTGGCAAAATTTGTTGTTTATGGAAAGATGATGAAAGTGCATCTAAAATATTCTGGGAATAATATGGGCAGCTTGATGAGAATTTATTGTTAGTCTTGTTAATCAATGATTGCCAGTTTAACGTGACCCAACTCCGATTGTATCAAGTGCTACTGCAGTGCTTTTGCTCTGAAAAGCACCGGTTCAGTAAATTTTTTTAGAGGATGCCTGGCTTTAAGTAGATGATAATTTGCATTAGATTTAAGCATAAAAAAATTAGGCATGTGCCTTAATTACTTGCAACAGCTATGCCAACTCTAGAAGAAAAAGTGTGAGTGCAGAGTGTATGCCTAGACGTGCTAGCTTCAACCTACTAAATATGAGAACTTGTTGCCTTAATTTGGCAGAATGCTGCGCAGAAAGATGCAGTTTCCCTGATGCTGTGTCTGAATGCTGCTTGATCTGGCTGAAAACTGATTCTCCTTTTTCTCTTCCCCACTGCCCCCTCCCTCACTCCCTGTCTTGTAAGTGGATTAATTTTCAGCCCGAGCAGCTCCCTGGCTCAGCTCTCTGTGCAACCAGATGAATACTGTGCAGCTAGCACAAGCAGTTGGTGGAGATGAGAGGTCAGACCACCTCCCCTTTCAGCAGTGAGATGGACTGATGCAGGAATAAAGCAACCCTGGGATTGTAGCCCAACTAATGTGTGTAGCTAATTATAAAGATGTAGTAGTATTTGCATATACAAATCTGCAGAGGACTGTGCCTGTTTGGTTTGAACGTTCCTGCCCAAGCCTGTGCCATCAAAGCTTTACCTCTGCTGATACTTGCGCTAACTTCTTTCACAGGCCAAACAGTGCTACAGCAGTGTTCTTGCTGCATTGAAAGTACATGTGTATGAGGATTGGTTATTTGCCATGCTAAAGCACAGAATTTTGGTTAAGGTGGGAATAATCGTATTAAGATTCAGTACAGACAATGTAGCTGTGTAACATGGTTACTGTGAGTAGCGAGTGGCAAGAAACAGCAAGTACTGTGCTGATCAAAAAGTTATCGGCCTGGATTTGCTGGTACGATTACAGGCAATTTTTATTGCAATGAGTTACTTAAAATTTAAATAGAATTGACATCATGTTCTTTTGACCTACTTCTCAGGCTTTTGTATTATTACTAAAATGATCTGGGATATTATAATGCAGTACACTGCAGAATGGCACACTTAGGAAAGATTGATACAGCACTGGTGTTTGAATAGGAAATGGAGCGTGGCAAATTCTGAGATAATGCTCTGATCTTCAAATGTGAAGGGTTGTATGTGTAGCTCCTGGAAAGCCACAGCTGCAGTTTGAAACTAACCCTGCTGAAAAGTGACACTATGAAAAACCAGGATACCTCTTACTGTTTGTTGTTGCATGAGTATATGAGGTGATGTTTTCTTTTCTTTAAGTAGTACTGCTAGTTTGCATATCACTAGATGCCCAGTTTGCATTAACACAAGTTGACTTTATTCTAACTGGCAGGAGAAAGTCATCAAGCCCTTGTGGAATATTCCAAACTTTCACCGCCAAATTTAATTTACTGCATTCTTCCTTCTAGACAACTACATTCTTCCTTCTAGACAGCTTGTTCCCATGACAACCCAATGTCAGATGATGCATGTACAGACCCTGAGTTTCCCATAACTTTGTCCTTGGGATGACACCAGTGTCATTTTTCTCATGATCTTTAAAAACGCGGGAGAAAAATAGTTCCTTTTTTTTTTTTTTAAGAAGTGCGAATTGTCATTTGGAAAGCATCCTGCCTTACTATAAGTTTCCCTTATCTAGAAATATTAAGATCAATCAAAAATACATTATTTTGTTTTGAATGTTAGGAAATAAAGGTTGTGGTTTTTAAGAGTGTGACTTCTGTTCAGGCACACACTATGAGTCAGTCTTCACTACAGAGTCAACTTGTTGCGTTTAACCCAAGTACCATCCAGAAGCAGCAACCTGACTGATGGTAATTGTGCTTACAGCCCACCTTAAGGGTATAGGCATTATCCAAGTGTTGCATATACTTGTATAAATAGTCCATCCACTTGCAGTGAGGACAAAGGCATTGGAAAGAAGTGTAGAGCATTTTATCTTACTGTGTCTGTGGGTATGATTCCAGAAGTCCTAATGCCTTGCATTGAAAAATGAAGCTCCAGGGTAGATGTGTGTCTCAGACAACTCTTAATACACAAGCCAACCCTACCTGCAGTGCACAAATCCAGATGTTAGAAAGCAAAGGTGTATCTCCAGTACAGAATTAGCTTGTGTTTGTCCTGGGATCAGTTCCCCCACATACCCCAACCTCCCTCAAAAATGTCTAACCTCGGCTATAGTAATCTAACAACAGGTTATCAAGGTTTCATTTCAGCCCGAGTTGGCAGTCCGTAGGCCTTGCTCTTAAAAGGCAGGCCAACCAGGCTGGTAATAATTCACTGTCATGCCCTAATTACCCTAAGTAATACTCGGTTGTCTATTTCTTTTTTTGCACACTTCAAAACACCTATAATGGCACTTTAATCCTGCATTTGTCTGCTCTGTTTTGCTTTGCTACAGTATTTTAACAGTAATGCCATAAGGAGTATGCCAGCACACAAGTTTGCTGAAAGCAGATGTCAGCCTTCTAGTACAGTTGTGCTGGCTGACCTGTAATTTGGGGAAAATGTATCTAAAGAAACTGTTTAAAGTTTAGCAGACAGAAAAGAAGAGGAAATGTCAAGCAGACAAGAAGAAATGAATTTGGTCTGCTGAAAGGTTTTGCTGCCAAATATTTGGTATGATCTATGTTAGCAATAAGTAACTCCATTTGGAAATCATTTTACACACAGAATTGTTGTTGTATTACTATTACAAACAGCAGCTCTATGCTGGGGCGCGCAAATCCTGCACGCATTCGTGGATCAGCCAAGTAAAAACATGGTATTTCCCACAGGAAATCTATCTCAGCATGCAGACTAGTAAAGCACTGTTGAGGATGCAGCTGCATATGTAGGGCTTTGTACAGACGACCCTCCCTCTGTGCTGGAATAGCTCGAGCTGTCATTTTTTAGTAAAGGCACATCCTTAATGCTTAGGCATCAAGTAATTTCTTCTGAAATGTTAGACTTCTTCCAGTTAGAGCTATCTTGAAAATCTGCTGCTGTCTTTACACACCTAAATGGTTGCTGGATTTTTCTGATAGTTTGGCTTGTTTAACTTCTTTAGCAACTCACGGCTGCTTCTGCCCAGTTATTTTCCATTAGGCTTAAAGTCCCTCTCTGCATGCAGAACACAGAGAAAACTTGACAGCTGTGTTTCATTCTCTTTCACATCTCAGTGTTTCACGAGGCACAGGTTTAGTGAAATCTTTGTCATGGGATCCGAAGATTTTATTGCTTCAATTTTTTTGCTGCCAGGTTGCATTGTAAATGCAAAGCTGGCTTGCTCAGAGTGCAGGCAAAAATGGTGCTACGTTGTTGTCTGGTTGGGGTTTTTCATGTGTGTGGTTGCTTTGGGTTTTTTTTTCCCCTTCTAATTACATAAAACAAAATGGATCAAGGATAAAGGTTGCAGGACTGTAATACTTTTACAGCTGTATTAAATATCATCGTAGGAGACAAATTTGTGTGATGAATTTGTAGAAAAGAAAGCAAACGTAATTTATTTTAAGCCAGCCGTGCTGCAGGAGGAGGATGGTGGAATGTCGCCACTAGTATTTTTAATATCATCATCATCATCATTCACCCTTTTTAAATTTTAGGGCTGTCAGTTCTGCAAGGAAATGTTCAGTGCTTTTTCTGACCAATTTGCTTTTGCTCCTGAGGATAGATGAAGATATTTTATTCAGGCATCAAATGAATTACTTCTATGCAGAAGACAGTTGATTGAAGTGTGGTTATATTTCTTTCAATTTTACGTCTTTACCATCTGAGCGAGCACTGCAGTTGCATGCTACCTGTCTGATTTATCGTTGTCTTGTAGGAGACCAGTAACTAGCCTTTCCTCTAACCTGAGGGATTTGGGCAGTTTCAACTAGGTAGTGAGCCTGTGAGAGATTGATTTGCCTGCACTTGGTGTTGCAGAACTTGACAATGGTTTGATTCTGGCTTTGCTAATATAGAAATCTTTTGGACGCTGAGAGCAGTGGCAGAATTTTCCTATTTCCACATGGTTGTTTCCTGTCTTGGGTGAGGTAGGCTGTTCTATGAAGATTTCTTCTGGTTTATCATTTCTAGTAGTCAAGAGAATTATTAAAAAAAAAAAAAAGACTTGGATGCACACTGAATGCTTATTTTGCTGGTTATGGTATGGCATTTCTGAATACCTGGTGGAATCCTGCTTCTGTGGAGGTACAGCTTGCATATGCAGATGAATCTGTAGTAGCCACTTTGTTATCATTCCCTTTCTAGTTAATGTACTGTACTGTACTCCCCTATTTATCATTTATAACATAGGTATATATGGTATCTCTCTGTAAGCTTGGATTTACTGGGATTCAGTAGTTGGAATGGAGTAACTGTGATACAGCAGAGAATTTGGCATCATTTGAATGCCATGTTATTGTGTTGGCACCACGTATAAATGATTTCCCCCTTTTTGTTTTGCTGTTAATGATCAACTTCAGCTGTTGCGCTGTGAGTGTTGGAGCATGCTGTGCATCAGAATGCTCAGAGGCCTCACTGCATCCTCAGCTTTGTGTGCACGATTATCTGTATGTGCCATAGATGGAAATTGAACATCTAATTACTTTATAAGATTTGTGAACAGAGATTTAGAGCCTGCTTAGCCTCTGCTTGAAAGTACTTTATGTGTGATTTGAAGTCTGCTTTTTCTCTCCTCCTCAGGTCCTTTCACAGATGTTGTCACTACAAACCTGAAACTCGGCAATCCTACAGACAGAAATGTGTGCTTCAAAGTTAAGACCACAGCACCACGTAGATACTGTGTAAGGCCTAACAGTGGAATTATCGATGCAGGAACATCAATTAATGTTTCTGGTGAGTCATTCAAGTGGGTTTTTGGTGATTGAAAATAGCTTCTTCTAATCAACTATTTTTTTGAAAGCTTTGCAATCTGAAAGTATTTTGTTGAATGTTTGTAAAAGCAAGAGGTTGTGATTTCATGGAGAAGCAGCCATTTCATATATCTTTACTTCCGTTTTTCCTGGTCTAGCAGTAATAGATTTGTTTTTAAATCTTGTTTGGGGAGGGGCAGGGGAGAAATACATAAATTATTTATATAGTTCAATAACAGTCTTAGCCAGCCTATCCAAATCAGCCCTGCCCTCCCTGTGGGATTATTTTTGTACGGTTAGTTTTTTGCCAGCTTAACTTCCTGAACCAGCTCACCGCAGGGTCAAACAAGTGCTTGGACAGGCACATCAAGGTAGGGATAAAACTAGGTAGACTGCAGCCACACTGTTTAGTCTGATGTGGGCTGTTGCCAAACTGCCTAATATAACCAATAATGAAAACATTTACTTTCAAACCGTGCTTGTTTTGTGTTCCTTGAAGATGCAATATGCTTTGGTGTTAGAAATGTCAAGTGACTAAATCTTTGCTGTTCCATAGGAAAAGTTAGTGATTTTCTCTAATGAGTCAGTAGCTCTTTACTTGCCTAAGTTTGGTAATGGAAAAGCAAAGAAGTGGCTTACTTTGAAAGCATAGTGTGTTGAGTATTTCCCATAAACAGAATGTCTGTATATTATTTACTTGCTGATGATACATGCTTGAAAGCAATGTATTTTCTCAATGACTTCTCCAATCCATGTTTTTAATAAAGAATTCTATCAAGGCATGTAGTAGTGGCATACTGCATGAATGAAGTCTGACTTTTTAGTTAAGAAAGTTATTTATATAAACATTCAGATTTGTTTTACTATTTTTAATAAATTTTAGTATTGGCATGATAAGAAAAATTACTTACTGATAGGTTATACGGTTTGCTGTTAGTCTCTTACCAAACTTTTCTAGTCTGGAATAAAAAATTTTGGGAGCTAAAACTACTGCTTTTTACTTGAAAAAAATCAAAATGTAAAAATGAAGACTTGAGTTTTTTACTTAATAAAATGTAAAATATTTAAACACCTCACCCTTGGAGAACTTCCTTCAGCAAAACAAAAATTGATCACAAAAATACTTTGCACTGTTACATTAAGAGACTCTAATGCTGTAAGTCTTCTTGTGCGTGCCTACATTTGCACACCCATTGATCTGTTGTCTTTGGGATTTCTATTGTGTCAAATTGAGCGTGCATATGATTGCAGAATTGTGCCTCGCTTGCAGTTAATCTCTGGGGAATGTCACAATGAGGACATAACCGGTGCAATGTGGTAGCTACAGGTCGGGCAGGCAAAGCACTTCTGCTTCAGGAGAAGGCTAGAACGTATCCCGTAAGCTCTGAAACGACTAATATGTAAATGAAAAAGCTCTCTAGAGAGAAATTGAGATTTTTTTAAAACTCGGGACAATTCCCAAGTAAAGCTGTCTGTCATCTATACTAGCTGCAGGCAAGCATATTAAATGCTTAGAAATCAATGAAGTGATAATGAAAATTAGCATGGTTTCTAGCTACAAATTATCTTCATGCTATAAAGATGTGGATTCTTTTCATCTTTCAGATGAACTTTCAAAATTAAAAGCCCGCTTCCTTTGCTGGCACATACCATGCTTTTTTAAATGTCATCTTGATCTCCACATTTGAGTGTTTTCTTAAACTTCTGCTTAAGATGACTCTTCGCTGTACCTTGAGCAGAATATAGTATAGGCGAGCGTTGTATGAACCATCTTACATTATGCTACCAGCATGCCTACATCTTACTTGCTTTTCCAGCCCAACTATTCCCAGCGACATGCCAGATAGAATATGGATCTAGTCCAAAACTTGACTTAAAGTATCCCATTATGAGGGATTGCTGTGCTAACCCTAAGCTATGCTTTGCTCTTGCTTACATAGCTTTGAAAAATTTCCCTTTTCTGATAACTATACTTACAGTGATTTATGATTCAGTTAGTTTTGCAAATGGCTATGGTATATTTAATCACAAGCTCACATTTGTGTTCTACATATTTTCATGCTGATAATAACTTAGTAATAATAAAAAACAATCCTAAATTGCCGGTCCTTACATTAACACTATATTTTAAAATGCAAGTAGTACACATTCATTGTTCTTTAGGTAATATATGAAAGTAAATTTATAGGTAGATGTGTTACAGAATTCTGGGGTTATAAATGTTAATTCCTTATTTCCTAAAACATTCTAAACCAAAGCTGTCTTTATCGTGTGCTGTGGTTGAATTTCTCTTTAATAGAGCTGTATATATTGCACTCCTGGTAGCTCCTTTAAACCATGCATGGGACCTAATTTTGGGCTTGAAGATGGCAGTCTTTGGTTCTGATTAGCAGAAGGGATCTTTTGGATAGGGGGGATCAAAGAGGGGACTTCCATTAATGTACAGAACAGAATTGTCTTCAAATTCACAGAACGGGGGGAGATGTGTTTAACCTTTGCTTTGGAGTAACGTTGCTTAAGAACAGAGGGCTGATTTTGGAGTTAATGAAGTGAAAAATAAATAGAAACTGTTTCTTTGCCTTTGAATTGGTTATTTTTCAGTCATGTAATTCAAGTCTTGCACAGGGCATAAAAATAGATCTTGAATTCCTCCAAACCTAGTGAAAATACTACTGATGAGAAATTATTAGAATGTAGTTAATTCAGTAATAATTTCTGGACATTTAAACTAATTGGGCCGTATTTACTATATGCAATCTGTCCTCTTGAGAATTGCTGACTGGCTTTAACACAGCTGCTTGGTAGCACTGCACTGGTACTGCTCCTTTTGTCTCCAAAAATCTCTCAAAAAATCAGTGCCTAAGTATAGTGGCATGAAGCTCTGGAACAATTTATAAGTTTCTTCAGAATTTTACTGACTGAAGCTGAGTTTGGGGCAGGCTTATCATCCCTGGGCTGTAGTAACCAGAGACCTTTCTTAAACTCCTGTGAAATTGTCGGTACTATTTTGATGTTAAGTGTATGAGAAGATGTTCTGCCCTAAGATAGAGGCAGCAATCAGAACATCATTCCACTTTATTTCATACTAATATGATGGCTCATTTAAAATGTATAAAATGCTAGAAAAGTAAAGCTTGCTTTATTCTAGCAGAGTGTCAAATGCTGACTTCTTATGCCATACCACAGCTTTTCTTAAATATCTGCATTTAAGGCCCTGTCAGCACACGCTGCTTGCTGTGATGTCAGGTTTGTAGCCTGTGTTTTCACCTGTTACATAATGGCATGTAATTTTAACAGCTGAGTTTACGTAACTGTTGGGAAGTGTATGTGTGCGCTGTCATCTGATTTCATTGCATTTGGTCTTAAATACTTTGAATAGAAGGGTATTTGCACACATTCCATTTTTGTCAAACATGTCTTATTCCAACAAAGATATCTGATTTTGTGCCTTCCGAGAGGTTGAAATCTAAATAAAAGGCATGAATGGATTACAAAGGAAAAGTGAAAAAATATAAGCAGATGCTGATGAGTCTGCAGATAGGTGTATAATGGGGGGAGAGAGGAAGTACAGATGGTGCCATCTGTGCACAGTGTCCCGCTGAAGAGAGCAGTCTGAACATGCTTCCTAAAAATGTGCAGAAGCTGACGTTATCCTTAGGTTCCTGTCGAATATCCTTGGGGGGGATTTTTAGTCTTATGTAAACTTGCCTGACTTTGAAAAGGCAGTTTGCATTGCCTTCAGGAGGGGGCTTCTGCAGCTGCTGTTCTTTTCGGTTGCAGTGGGTCTGCCCCTTTCGCTAAGACACCGATTGTGTCCCGTCCGCTGCTGCAGCCCCCGACTCTCCCGAGGCAGCCTCGCTGCTGCACGCTGTTCCCCCAGGCATCCCAGGACTGTGTAGCGACTGCCAAGTTTTGGTTTGGTTTTGTCTGCTTGCTTTAGAAGAATCTATCTTGAGCTTCACAGATTCATTTTTTAGTGTTATTGAAATATTTACAGAAAGAACTATGTAAACATGGAACAAATGTGAAGTGGTGCAGTGGATTCTGCCTGTTTCTGTAGACGCGAATGTCCTTTGCTCACCTCTAGCAGAGCTGATCAAATTGCACAATGATCTTGAGGCTTGCCCCTGTAGCTGGTTGGGGTATTTTATGTAAAGGTGCTGTAAGTGTAGTAGATCTGATCTATCCAGACCATAAAGAATTTCATGCAGTGCCATTTGGGAAAATTATCAATAAAGCTAGAAAAGGGAAATAGATTCACAGACTATTGAATGGGCTACTTAAAGAGTAAACAGTGATGTGGTGGATGGAAATGTAATAGCAGGAAGTTACTAGTGACGTTTCTTGAGAATGATTCTTGGTACTAATCTTGTTTAATGCTTTTATAAGCAATTCTGGCACAAAAAGAGTATACGGAAACCCCCAATGATGATGTAAAGTTGGGAGGCTGAAGATACGCAGCAGAACTGGGTGTCCTTGAAGGCTACAGTAAGAGAAACAGAGGATGAGTTTCATCAGAAAAACTGCAAAATCGCACACTTGGAGAATAAAATACTCCTGCTATAATCACAAGCTTGTTAAATGAAGGGGGCTGGAAGGGGTGACCAAGATGCTGACATAATGTGGCTGTGAATAAGACAAATATAGAATGTGCAAACAGGCTGGATAATGGAAGGGTTAAGAAGGTATAAATGCTATTGTCCAAGGCACTAGCAAAATTTCCTGGAGGTATAATTAGAGTAGCTCATACAGAGGAGTTCAAGCCAGAACAGGTGCAGAGAATGAATGGGGAGCCTGGCCCGGAGAGGACCCCCGAGTCTGGCTTATTTAGTTTACCAGAAGGCCAGGAGTTACTGTGATTGATGTCTTGGAGTGTACCAGAAGTAAATGACTCTTCCCCTTCTTTGATATTTAAGCATAAGGGCAGTATTGGTCCCTGACTAGCTGAGCAGGGAGACTTTTCTGTTCTTTCTGCTCTTCGAAGGGAGTGCTAGATCCTAGCAGGTGTTAGGAGTAGAGTTTTGCCTCCTTCCATGTTCCTTGCTTCAGATTTCCTCTGTTCCTTGAAAAAGCAGGTTTACTCTAGGAAAACCAGAAGAGTTTAAGGCTTCTGCAATTGTTATTAACTTTGCCAGTAAACTGTTCTAGGAAAAGGAAAGAGCATATTATGTGGTCACTGCCTGTCCTTTGCTATCTACAGG